CTACCAGCACCAACACCAGCACCAGGCACGAAGAGATGTTAGACGTGACGACCAAGGGAGAGATCTCAGACGCGACCGCGATGATGCTGAGCCTGGCCATCACATCTCTAATATTTTGTACCATGCGCGGGATGACCTCGAACCCGGGCAGGGCGAGTTTCAACCGACTAAATACCTAGAAGAGTGGAAGAATGGCACAGTCGGTACTCTTGGCGGCCCGCTTCTTGACCTGGGTAATGTATCGCCTGCAGGAGATAAGGGCGCACCCCAGTTTCGGAGACGAGGTACGGGGGGACTGCGGCCAAGGAGAGGTGAAGCTTTTGATGGGGAGTATGATGACACTTATGGTATGTAATCGCTCCCTGACTTGTTCGCGAAATGACAGTAACATCACAAGTAGCCTTGTCACCTAGTAATTGGCATCGTCCCTTTCCTTTCTTTTCTTTCTTTCTTCCTTTCCTTCCTTCCTTCCTTCTTCTATCTTCCATCTCACTTTTCCTCTTTCCTTCCTTCTTACTTTCCCCTTTATCATGGCGTGCTATGAACGGCTTCTAGTTACTAACTCACTCCTTTTTGTGAAGCTCCCACGAGATTCAAGCCGCCACTCTACCTCAAATGTGGCCCTCTTCTTCGGTTTTGCGGTATCCGGCATGACCGTGTGGCCACCCGCTCCCCCAAACCCGGGGCTGTGTTAGAGAAAGAGATATGGCGCGGTTCAGTCATGATCGTCACATCAGACGCCGATTCATCATACGATATTGCCCCGACACTAAGGCTATTTGCTCAACCGGTGGAACTCTTACCCCCTCCGCCAAAAATTATACATGGTGATGAGCCTTTAGCTGCAGAGTATGTTGACCCCATCGCAGGCCATCCTAAATTAGGACGCAAGGGCGAGACTCTCTATGTCAGACCGGTCGACCACCTGGACGAAGGCAAAGATCTTTCCCGGGATGAGACCGACAACGGATTATTCGAAAAGTCGAGAAGCGCGCCAGAGTCTCTTCCGGCCGGCGTAATTGACCCGCCCGGCTCGTTCAACGCCCGGAAGAAACGCGCCAGGATTGATGGTGAGAAAGTAGGAAAGTACAAAGACGTCCGAGGTTTCCGACTTCACGCCGAGCGAGGATACACTTTCTGGCGATTTAATATCGAAGTCGAACTCCGCGAAAAACAACAACGCATCGCTTATCGGATCAACAGGGGACCGGCGACGGGGTTTTGGGTCCCAGCCAAAGGACAGGCAATGAACATTATGTTCCACAGCTGCAACGGCTTTAGCTTGAGCGTCGATCCCAACCAGTTCAGCGGCCCCGACCCTATGTGGCGCGACGTGCTCAACACTCACCAGAGCCAACCGTTCCATGTGATGATCGGTGGTGGTGACCAAATTTACAACGACAAGTGCATGCAAGAGACACAACTCTTCAAGGAATGGCTGTTAATCAAGAACCCATTGCACAAGCATAACACTCCCTTCAGCGCGGAGATGCAAGACGAGCTAGAGCGCTTCTACCTGGAGCGATACGCCATGTGGTTTTCGCAGGGTTTGTTTGGCATGGCAGCCTCACAAATTCCCATGGTCAACATGTATGATGACCACGACATCATTGACGGCTTTGGCTCGTATCCCCATCATTTCATGAAGTCCCCAGTGTTCTCGGGACTTGGCAATGTTGCTTTCAAGTACTATATGCTGTTCCAGCATCAGAGCGTGGTGGATGAAACAGAGAAATCCGAGCCAAGCTGGATCTTGGGTGATAAACCGGGTCCGTACATCCAGGAGGTCAGTCGAAGTATGTTTATGTTCTTGGGCGCAAAGGTTGCACTACTGGTGGTTGACGCACGGACTGAGCGAACGCGAGAGGAAGTCATCAGAGAAGATACATGGAAGAGAATTATGGACCGGTGTTATGGTGAAATCGAAAACGGGAAGGTAGAGCATCTGCTGGTCCTCCTTGGTGTGCCGGTCGCTTACCCGAGGCTGGTCTGGCTGGAAAATATGTAAGCGTTGCTCTGATCTCCAGGAAACACAATCTTGTTTTACTAACCCCGTTTTTTGTTAGCTTGACCTCTCGTCTGATGGATCCTGTCAAGGCTCTTGGAAAAGCCGGCCTTTTCAAAAACTTCCTGAACCATTTCGATGGAGGCGTTGAAGTCCTGGATGATTTGGACGACCACTGGACAGCCAAAAGCCATAAGGAGGAGCGGGCAATTGTGATCGAAGATCTACAGGACCTGGCAGCTGACAAGTCCGTCAGAGTTACTATTCTCAGGTAAGCACCAATTGTCCACCGCAAAACCAGCACTCTCCGTGAGCGTCCCGAAGCTGACCATCTTCTACAGCGGTGATGTCCACTTAGCAGCCATCGGGCAATTTTACTCGAACCCCAAGCTCAACATCCCGAAGGACAAGGACTTCAGGTACATGCCAAACGTCATCTCCTCCGCTATCGTCAACGCTCCGCCTTCAGATATGTTGGCCGACGTGCTCAACAAACGTAACAAGGTGCATCATTTCGACCGAGACACGGACGAAGACATGATCCCAATGTTCCAACAAGGTGTCGATGGCAAGCCACGCAACAACAAGCACCTGCTTCCACGCCGCAACTGGTGCTCAATTCGGCTGTATAACCCCGGGAACACACCAGACTCCACGCCCGGCCAGTCTGTAATTGGTATCAACGCCTACGGACTACCTTCCAACGGACCCAGCCTTTTACGTCGCCTCTCACTTTCCAAAACACGAAGCCAATCCGGCCCCACATACCGCGGCCCCGACAGCGTGCGCGACCGAACCCGCCCACCCATCTCCAACGCGTTGCTCCGCACTCTCTCCCGCCGCGGACCAAGCGCAAGCGCTGATCAAGTCGTTCCTGGCGGCCGCGGAAGCCCAGCGGCAGCAGGAAAGCCCCCCGGATTGTTGAAGAGGACGCTCTCGGGTTCCTCCATAAGCGGTAAAGTCGGCGACTTCTTCCGCCGTCGTAACAGCATCAGCTCCCAGCGGCCGCGTGTGGGTGATGAGGGCATTAACGGGACTTGGGTTCCGGAATCGGACGCTGAACAGGCTGTTTACGATGACTATGCCCATGTTGGAGATGAGTATAACATCCCTAAGATCCGCGGTGGCCTTCGTGATGGCATGTCTGCTCGTGTGGGCTTGCGCGGTGGAGGGGGTGAATACCATCCTACTCCCCCCGTGCCCGTTGGTACTGGTGGTGACGAGTTTGTTGCCGGTGACGAGAGCTACTTTACGGCCAAACCGGTCTCTGATCACAATCGTGGAGTTGGTACCGGTGGCGAATACCCCTCTTCACCAATGACCGGTTCCAGTAATACCGGCCGTGGTGGTCCCACGGGCATGGGTATGGGCATGTTCCAGTCCCAAGCAACATCCGCCTCCTTGCCAGAACGGGACTTTGCACCTTCTCAACCCTCACCTCGTAGTGGCGGCAGTATGTGCCGTTCCAGAACAACAGGCGGTGACACAAGAACCATAAAGCGCGGAGACGCCATACCTCAAATCATGGCCGACGGCGCACTGGAAGTCACCCTCAACGTGGAGATCAGCCCGCGCGATCCGGGAGGCAGCACGGTGCCGTACCGCCTGCTGGTGCCCAAGTTGTCGTATGAGTATGAGGGCGAGGATCATGACCACGATCACGATCCGGAGATGAATGCGATGGTTGGGGAGGAGCGTACGTCGAGCCCGGGGCAGGTGCAGACGTTAGAGTCTAGGCAGCGGGAGGAGACGGAGACGGAGATGGGGATGGAGATGGGATTGGTGATGGGGATGGAGGAGAAGCCTATCACTGGTGGTGGTGGAGGGCTTAGACGGTTGCTTAGTTTGAAAAGGAATGGGCGACGATGAGGATAGGAAATGATGACATGGGACGGGATGTAGTGGGTGTAATGCTATGGTTAATTTTGGGTGGGATGTGCTTTTCACTATTCGTTAGTCTTGGATTGGGTTTGAGGCAGTTATGTACCTGAGCTAAAGTACACGTGAAGCAGGTACAGATGGATAAAGTAGCTACTAGATGACGATTTGACGATTGATGAATGGACATGTCCTTTTTTTTTTTTTTTTTTTTTTTTTTACACGAGGCTTGTTCACTGTTGGCGAGGAATCTCTCGTTCTTCTTCTAGACGCAACCGGTGCTTCTGATTGGTTAAGGCCACAGAGGCCGATATGCTAGATAAGCTGCTATCGTTCTTTTTAGTGGGGATGCGATATGACGAACATTGATGTGACGGGCAGGAACTTGTTCCTGTTCGGCAATCTGTCCTTGATCCTGCTCTCACCTTCATTGTCGCATTCAGTTCAACTTCGTATCTACTTTACCTCTTCAATCTCTCATCCGACGTCACGGCCGATCAATCCTCGACCGTATACTCCTCGTACTCTCGGCTACTGATTATCTTTAGGCTGTCAAGTATATCAACCCAATCGCGACCATACGAACCGCTTCGGGATTCACGACCTACCGCAGTCTTCCATCACTCTTCGGTTCGACGACGTCGTTCCAGCGCAGGCGCATCCAAAGCAAGTAACGTCCAGGACCGACCTTGGGCGCAAAGAAACACCAGCATACCTCATACAACTGCCCTGCGCGGATGATGGCTTGAATGGCGTCAGACACGGAACCACAACACGAACCACAGCAGGAGGAGCAGCGGGAGCTCGCTCTTATCGGCAGAACCGAAGGGGAAGAAGTAACAGAAAACGGAAACGACCTACCTCCACGACCCACGACGCCGTCGACGAAACCAACCACCGGCGCGTGCCCACCGCAAGCGCAACCATTATATTCCAACAATGACGACGAATGTTCCTCAGACAACGCCCTAGGCACTAGTTCCGCGGACGACTCCTCCCAAGATGATGCCAGCTCCGAGCTAGTAACCTCTCCATCAGTGACGTCGCCGCCCTACTGGGCACACGGACACACCACGCATAGCCAGGGGGAACGCGGCATGCAAGGACGATGTCAAGCATGTCAGCGGAAAGCGATCTGCTACCGGGAGCCATCACGCTGCAGGATAATGAGCACGATGACGGGCCAGACGGAGCGAACGTGTATGGACGGGACCGCAACCGGGCGTGCTGGGCGAAGAAGGTGGATATTGTCGACTATATACTGGTGAATGGGGGGACGGCAAATATTGGGGCGTTTGTGGTTTGGAATATCAAGGTTGAGACGTTGAATGTGCGTACAGTTTCTTGGTAACTTTTTGCACCTTGGAGTTGGAGACTTTGACTAACCCTCAGCAACTTCTCTCTTATAGGGCTCGCGAATGAACATAAGGAAACGATATTCCGAGTTCGACAGTCTCAGGAAACGTCTCGTCCAGACTTTTCCAAACTTCGAGGCGGCTGTACCTCTAATACCTCCCAAGAGCATCTTACACAGGTTCCAGCCCAAGTTTCTCGAAAAAAGGAGGGCCGGACTACAGTATTTCTTAAAGTACGTACGCATTCCAGGATGACCTGACTTCCTTTAATAGCTCGCCTCAGAGCTCTAGAGATACGGTACTAACTCCCTTATGAAAAACAACAGCTGCATTTTACTCAATCCAGAATTCTCTGGATCTCCTGTTTTGAAGGAGTTTCTCTTCTCGTAAAGATACCATCCGTGAAAGAAGAAAAAGAAAAAGAAAAAAGAAAAGAAGAAAAGGAAAATACGCAACAGAGGATGAACGAAGTTTACCAGTTTCGACGATGAGGCAATGGTAATATGTGAATAATTCCTGACCAGATCACGGATAATGGCCTGATTACGATGACGATGATGACGATGATGACGGTGATGATTTGAACGGGACACGGACGCCTTGGCTTATTGGCTGGATTGGGACGGGATGCCCGAGAACCGAGACTCTCGTGAGCAAAGCAATCAGATGAACTGGAAGCTACACTAGGGCGTGGAGAGACATGTCGCAACAATGCTAAGCGGCTGGACCCGTTTTACGTTTTATACAATATGTCTTCAAGATCGACATTGCTCTGTTTGACCTTGAAACGTTTGAGATAGTTAGAGTTTCTGGAGTTCGCTGTGATTCCGGGTCCATGATGGAAGATGGGTTTGGCCTCTTCTCTTTCCCCTGCAATGTAGCTACCACCCCCAATATCGCCTTCTAAGCCCAGGTTATCGAGCCGCCGAAAAAGAAGCTATCCACAGTAGGCCAATGTCGCAGTCGGCTCTGGGCAGTTTGCTTTGTTCAAAAACCAGTTTCACCGTTGGTCTCAGCTGACATGTCCAAAGTTCTTGACGTTTCCCGTCTTGTACACTACTTGGGCAATCAAGAAGGAAAAAAAATCCTCAGCCGCTTTTTGCCTGCTTGCTTGCAGATCGACCCCGTGAATGGGCAGAAGATATAGTGTAGTGGTGTGCTTAAAACGTGGAATGGCATCTTAGTACGGATAGGATTATGGGGTAGACCATCGATCTAAATCGAGGTTCTGCTGCTTTATTATAGAATGCAAGTCGAGAGACCAATTCGCCCCCACGTTCCCAATGCGCTGTTCATAGCGCGGAGTGATGACTATGACTTTTGGCTGTGGGGGAGGAACTGCTGAGGGTTATACGCAGTCAGACCAGTTCTACAATTGAAATGTTTAAGTATTAAGTCTCAATAGCCCCGAGACTTGTCTGACCCAGCAAATCCAGCCGTTGCCGTATTCTGAGCAGAGGCGGACCTCTCGGGCTCCGGTGGAGAGTCGGCTATACTATGTACATGCAGGCGGGAATACCGATACGAAAACACCTCAACTAAAGCAAAAAAGTAAGGAAGGTGAATGACCAAATGTTGAAGGGCCAAACGAGATAAAATGCGGAAAGGTTTCTTGTGGGCGGCCATCATGAATGAGGATCCCCGCCATTCTCCGCTTTCGCCACTGAATCACTTGCTGCCTCATCACTACAGCGAATACGAGGTCGATGCAGATACGCACAACCGTTGTAATCCTACCGTCAGGTGCACATCAAAACTGTTCCGTCGGTCTGCGCTTCTTTACAAGTTGCAAATCAGGTGTCCCGAGTGTGCCGTGTGAAAAGGTATCAGTCGGGAGAGACGTGGGGTTTGAGGTCCTTGAAGGTAACCCCGTGTTGTCCCCGTTCGGCCCGGGGTTTTATTTTCAGTCCAAAGTGTTCAGTTCACTCAGATCACTCGGACAAACTGTTATGATCTCGTATGAATGATATGTAGTTGCCTCCGAGCAGTCAGTCGGTCTTCCCTCTCCTCTTGTCAAAGGTGTACATAGATAGAGGTACCTCTATGCAGTATGCATTCAGGAATGCACTGCAACCTACCCATAACGGGCCAGTTGCGTCCGATGGATGCGATAGCAGAGTTGCTTGCCGCTTTTACCATTCTCTGTACACAGGGGACGAGACGATCAAGACGCAGGCAGACCATTGTTGCCAACAAGACATGTGTAGGTTGCAAGAGACAAACTTTCATGTTTGGGACCACCATTGTGATGCCGCATAGTTATTGGTTATCCGCTCCGGTTGTTGTGTTTCTATGCCTGGAATTCGGTGTTGTTGTTGTCAAGAGCTTGTTGACCGAGATGTTTCATCCGGGAGAATTATTGCGGATCGACAGTGCACAGCAGCAATCATCAGCAAATGCAAGCATGGAAACCGGCCGCCGCTCAGTGCATGCCGGTCGATGCAGTTGTGCACCTCCAGAAGGAAGCGTCAATCGCCGTAAACCTTATCGGGACGGGGATGCGTGATGTTGATGCTGGCTACCCTGGTCCCGGTAATTTCGAAGATGAAAAAAAATACACGATAAGCATCTGGACGGGGTAAGTTGAATTACCATTTGGTTTAAAGCAGGGTAGATTTAAGACGGCAATATCATGGGTTTTCTTGCTCTTGCCTATGGTGTTCGTCCCAAGTCTCTCGGATGCCTATGCTCATGTCAAATAAACATGACAAGTCATACCAGCCTCTATATAACTGGAAGAACACGATGTGTCCAAGAACAGCACCAGGTTCATCCGAACGTGACAAGACGTCCGTGAAGGTTCCAGCAGTCCGTATCCATCGAAGCTATCGATCAAAAGTCCATCCCCATCACACGAGAATTGGGCATCTAGCATCCGAGCGGCGGAATTGACTGGCTGCGATTGGACAAACCGGGCGGTGCGAAAGTCCGGGCTAACTTGTGGAGTAGGGTGACATGCTCATCCCTGCCCAGCAAGCTCGCTACCGTCGACGCGATGCAACACTCCAGGGATGGAACCATCTAAACCTATCAACCAACGGACGTGAGTTGTTCGGCATTTAGAGCTCGAATAGTGGGTTCTGGGCCTCGGGAGCAGCCACGGGCGTTGATGATCCATCCAGAACCATCTTGCCATCAAAATCCGTCAGTTCAATTTGATGCTTGGCCTACCAGGGTACCCTAGCCTCCTTTTCCCTTTCCTCCTCGTCCTCCACGCTTTCTCTCCGCTCCTTCCTCTATCTCCACTGCCCCAGTGATTTCCTCTCATCTCCCCCATAGTCTGGTCGTTTCCTTCCCGATCCCTTGGGACTGTCGCCCGCTTCTAGGATATTCTCCTGATCTCTTAAAGTCCTCAAGTGGTGCTGTCACTCGCTCTGGTCTCTTCACCTGCCTGACCCCTTGCTCTCGTTTCCGTTCGCATCTCCTCAAGTTCAGTTCAGGACCGTCGAAATACCGTTATTTCACTCCACCGTCGTTGTCGTTGCGCGTGCTCCCCCGTACATTCCGACTTTTCTGTAAGTAAGCCTTGGTTTCTTCTAGATCTGAGCAGTTGCCTTGAGTTTTCGGTGCTGAATGGCATGTCCATTCATCTCATAGAGCTCCCGGACAACGCCATCATCAAACTCCAGTTTCTGTTACACCAAGACGTTCCATGGCGATGCATGATTACTCACTATTAGTTTGTACACAGTGAACGAACATAATAAATCCATCCACTCATCCACCGGTACACGATAATTGAAGTCCAATCTTTCATAATGGTTGCCTACAGCACTACTCTCCTGGCTCTTGCCAGCTCCTTGACCCTTGTCTCCGCCGATTACTGGGTCAACACAAGCAACATCGACATGGGCACAAAGCGTACGTACCAATCAAGTCGTCCATCGGAGCGTTACCGGTAAACACAGACTAACCGGGCAATCAGGAAACTGGTGCATGAACGAATTGGCCAGCTGCCCCCTTATTTGCCAGCAGGAGGATCTTGGTCCTGTCGACAAAAACCTTTGCGATGCTGTATGTGAATAAAGAAGCCCTCCTCGAAGCCGAATGGCCTATCTCTTGTAAAGTTGCTAATGTCTGAATCAGGACACCCTTGAATACGCCTGCGTTTGCGGCAACGGCCAGACTCCCAACTTGACTGAGTACACTTTGACAATTCCTTACCACACCTGCGTTGAGTGGGTTCAGGAATGTATCAATGACAACATGGGCGACAACATTGCGCAGGGCGCCTGCGCCCAGGACCACCCATGCGGTGCTAAGAACCCCAAGAGATCCAACGCGACCACGACGTCGACTGCTTCTGCTACCGCGAGCCCAACCGCTTCCAGCACAGGCACTGGCGTCTATAACGGCCTTGCCGGTGGTAGCACCGATGACGCGGATTCGAGCAACAATGGCGGCCACAAAAAGAACGCTGCTCCCCATATGCTGGAGTCGATTAGCGCAACCCTCATCTTCGGCAGTCTCTTTGCTGGTTTCGCCATCATGCTCTAGGCTAGCGTTATTTTGACGTTTGCGACCATACCGGATGTGCGTCGAGCTTTTTGGGAGGGACTTAAATGTTAAAGATTGACCTTCTGACGGACTATCAATTGCTGCCCGATGGACGGCAGCAGAGTCCGTTGAGGCCAAAAGGGAGCTTTCAGGATATGAAGCAGTGGAGGATGTCATCGATCACATGCCCTCACGGAGCCACGACACGCTATCCTCGACACTACATTAATATTACAACAAGCGCATGGACAGTCCTTCCTTTTTTTAAGGCGTTTCTGGAGCACTATGGCATCTTGCGAATTTTGGATGGAAAGGGGAAATCATTTTGTCAAGCGGTTGCGGGGCGTTTCTCTCAGTTTTATGTACATGACTACTGTGGTTAACACGCCTAATTGTGGAATGTTTATTGTGTCACATCATGATTAACGGTTTCTGGATTTGGCATCGGATCACCTTGTGCAACTTCGCCTATCTTGTCTGAAATTGCTTGGCCCTCAGTGTTCTGCGGCGGTTTAGGCTATACTATCCGACGAGCTGAATCTCTCCTATAATGCCAGCTGTACTTCGGGCTGTACCTAGTTGTATGTCAGTTTTGGAGTAAAAGACACCTTGATAGTATACTCGGTAGAAGTTAGCTCAACCTGAAACAGGTCGTCAGGTAGTGTAGATGAAGATGCAAGCACATAGTCAATGGACACAGAGATTAGGCGGTGACTGCTTCAAGCAGCCATCATGGACAGGGGGTTTTCACGTGCCAGTTTACGCCAGCGAACTTTTGGGACAAGGGGTGCAGATCCTGCCCAGCCGCCGTGCGCGTACACTTCAGGGACTGCGTTTTCGCAGAGGCAGTTGGCAGGACCGGGGCTGCCCTGCTCTTGGTCTTGCTTCGTTTCAAACCACGCCTGAGATGGGACTTCTACGACGATTCCATGGCACAGACTTATTCGGATGAAGCCTGGGCTACCTACCTGAGTCCCAGCGAGCAGTCGGCTTGTGAGGGAGGCGGATTGTGGAGGGAGGAAAAAAAAAAAAAGGAAAAAAAAAAAAAAAAAAAGAGAAACCCCATACCAGAATTCAGTGTAAAGCTTCGGGTTGCGAATCGTTTGTGTGGGACCGCACTTGGGATTGGAGACCGCAAAGGTGGAATATAGTTGCTTACTGTAAGTAGTATACATGCTTGATATCTTCCGTCGTCTTCTTCACTCAAGGGCCTGATCGGCACGCGTGACCGTAACCTGAAAAACGTAACCTCTTTTATTATACACAAGCCAAGACCTTAATATAGATCCAAATATCCCTATATATACGGGCAAAACCCACACAAATAGATCTAAAAAGAGGTTACGTTTTATACAGAGTAGATGCGTAACCTTTTTTCAAAATCGCTTTATACTAATATAATAATAAATCAAAGGTACTTAAGCAAGTGCGCGCTAGTCCCTATATAGTATAGCAACCAGCTATCGCATACTAAAAGCGGTATAGATGCCTCTATTTATAGATCTATTACCCCGCCTAATAAAGAGGTTATATAGAATACCTTTGAGGTATTCTACGTAACTTATAACCTTTTTTAAAGTAGATATAATCGTTAGAAAGTAGGTGGTTGAGAGATAATTTGTAGTGCGGCATAGGGAGACTACGGGGTTTTATTAATTATTCTACGTAATTATACGACCGTTCGTACGTATTATTATATATATAGTTTATACTATTATTAAATAATAGTAATTTGTATAAGAAATAAAGTAGGATAAACGATTATATTAATATACGTTAGCGGTTATAGTAGAGGATAAAGAGTATATTTAAATAGTAGAGGGTAAGGAGGGAGAGGGTAGAGAAGAAATATACTAAAAGAAAGTTTTATTTTTTATTACGTTCGTTATTATCGTTACTATTATTACTTCGATTAGACGGAATTAAGGTTTCGATTTTAAAATTATTAACGAAGGCGGCCTAAAAACTAATATTGCGAAAGCTTAATACTTTTTGAATAAGTATAATAAATAATTCTTTAAATTTTTTCGTATAATTAAAGTAGAGTTTATAGTTTTAGTGAGGTGGATACGGGAAAGTGGTAGTGTATAAAATACTAAATATTAGACTATTGAGCTTAAATTAATAATATTTATCTAAACTATTATATTTAACGAAATTTAATAGCAAATAGTATACTACTTTATAATAGCCTAATCGACAGTATTGAATATTATTACATAAATAATACCAGTCTTTATTAAACTTTATACCGAATTTATAGTCCAATTAGATAATGACTATATAGTATTAGAGATTGAGTTTGTTGCGGGTAATTAACAGTTTAGTAATACAATTAGTATTATTAATAGTACCTATATTTATATTAAAGTGCTAGTAAAAGACTAGAACCGCTAGTATAATAGAAAGGGATTTATCTTATAGAATATATTTACTATAGTCCGATTTAATAGCACTTTCTTATATATATTAGCTAGTATAGAGGGGTCGATATAAAATGCGAAATTACTTTGTATTGCCTTATTTCACAGATTTAAAATACTTTTTAAGTAATTTTATTTAACCGATACGGGCTTTAATTAATAGAGAGGTATTTTAATTCCGTTCTTAATAGTACAATATTATTTTTAAAATTAGAGGGATACTCCGGGTAATAGGCAGCCTATAATAAAAAAAGAATTGTATAATTTGAGGTATAGTATGAATTGTGTGTTGGTTGAGTAAGTGTTTGGTTGGTTGAAGAGGATAGTAAAGTTAATACGAAAGTCGGCGCTTAAATACCCTATTAATACGTAGATTGATTTTATATATATTATAATAGGTTTGTATAATTTTATTTATTATTAGCGTTATAAATCGATAAAAGAGGAGGAGGAATTATTTATCTAATTGTTAGTATTAGTAAAGAAACGTATTAATAAATTCTTTTTTAATAATCCTATTACTATATACGTCCGGATTGTAAACGGGTTGTAGAAGTTATAGTAATAGTATTTCTAAAAGAAGGGAGGGAGGGGGTAAGAGTATAAAAGAGAGTAAGTTTGAATTAATTTATTAATTAATTAGAAGTATATAAAATATTAATAATCTACTTCTAAATTTTAATTTTTCGATTTATAGAAGGATATACTAGAAAGCATTAGAATATAGAAGAATTATAATATTAATTTATCCTACTAAAACGGGAATTAATATACGCTAAAGTTTTTAGATTAATATAATACGCCGTATCGAGGGTATACGGGCTATTAAAAGTAGTAAATATTTAAAAATAATCCAGGGAAATAGTTCTTATAGACTTTAATTATATATTAATATATTAAAAATCCAATTTTTTAAATTTAGTAGAAATTTTAGAATTTCTAATATTTCTAAATATAAGTAATTAACCCCCTTTATTCTATTCTATTCTATTTATTAAAATTACTATTGCGTACCCTTTTCTTAAATTTAATTACCCTTATTAACCGCCTTAATTTAATAAATTTAAATTTATTATCTATTACGTTCCATAAGATAATTTCTTTCTTTATTAGTTTTTAAAATATATTAATAATTATTTCCGGCGATAAATTCTTTGTAAAATTAATTTGGAAGTTTAATACCGCCGTTTTAATATCGACTATACCGATTAGTTTTATATTATTAATTAATTTAATTACTTTGTTAATAAATTTTATAATTAGAGCATTACCTTACTTAATAGATATTTTCTTAGTCGGTTACGTCGATAGAATATAAAATAAGATTTAGAATCTACTATTGTCCTTTCTATCCGGTTCGCTACTATTATTTTTATTACTTTAGAAATTGGAGTTAATAGTTTTCTATTATAAAGCGCGCTTTACCGTCCGCTTTTCTCGCGCTTACTCTATACGGATTTTCTTTTTTTCTACAGTAATTAATTTACGGCGCTCTACCGGCGGGGTAAACAATTATAAATCTTTATTATTATCGTTAATTATAGTATATACTAATTAAATAAATAATTTAGTCGCCTGCTTGTTTGTAAAGATATTTATTAAAATAGAGTAATTATCGGTATTATTAAGTACGTACGCATCTAATTTTATTTAGTTACCCTTATTATTAAATTCTTTAACGAAGGGTTCCTAATGTGTATTAGAATATTGGATTTTATTAGTTTCGTAATTAAAAGACGTACTAGTACGACCTTTAACTATTTATTTTATATATTTAGTACGCATTTTAAAACGGGTAAATATACTTTAATATATTTCTTAAATAATAATTCTATTACTATTTTTATTTTCACGAACTTAGTCGGTTAATATTGCTACCTAGTGTTTGTATTAGTTACGTTTAAACCCTTTACCCTCCTTTATTATAATTAAAAACCCGTCTAAATAAGAATCTTTAATAATAAGAATAAATTAGTAGTATACCTTAAAAGACTAATAATATAGTCCTTAGTTTATATTCAAATTAGTAGTTTTCTTTTTTCGATTAGGTTATTAATTAATTACTTTTCTATTATTAAATAACTAAGATTACTTCTATACTTCGCTCTTTATTTTTATTATATTATTATTATTATTATTATTGACCCTAATAGGTCTTATATAGGAATTGGGCGGGTAGGGAGTATCGACGAGCGAAGGCGTAGTATTATTAAAGAATATAGGCGTACTAGGGAAATTATATTCTATATAGTCGTTAATAATATTCTATATAGTATATTAGTAGGGTAGCGGGCGGTTAATAAATAATAAGGACGATAGCGTAATTATATTGTATGTAGCAACCGGGTAATTATTAATAAGAGGCGGTAGTTATATCCTATATTAAGGTAGCGAGGAATCTATATATAGTAGATTCCTATATTGGGAGTTCCTATATTACGATAATTAGAATCCCCTATACTATTATTATTAGGAGTATTATTATGGCCCAGTCGGATGGGTCATGCCCTGCACTAGAGGACATCGCGCGGATGCAATTAATATAATTGGTTATAAATTAGATAAGGAAGAGTAGGCCGCAGTGGACCTGGCTCTGGGAGCATATCTCCCATCGCCAGCTGCGCGCACAACTCTTACCTTTTATTTTACTCTTTAGTCGTAAATTCTATATTGAATATTAATAATACTACAGCCTTACCTCGCCCATTACGTGCTCTCACACTATTTACGACTCATCTCTCTACCGGGGACGGTTTTAAATATCCTACTATTGAAAAAAGCTACAACGCAGCAATATAGTAATTAACGACTAAAATTAACAATTAAAATAAGTAAACGATCCGACACGCAATATATCGCGATCCCCCCTATCCTTTATAAAGGATTTCCAAAGAGGAGTTTAAAGCGATTATTAATTAGGTTACCAATTAATTAAATAATAAGAAGGAACTATTTAATTACTAGGATAGCCCGTAATAATATTGAAGCTATATAATTACGCTAGGTCTATTTTAACCCTAATATT